TTATGAATAAAATAAAAAATGATATATATATATATATAAAGATTTTTTTATTTATAAAGACTAAAAAATAAATGATAGTTATCTATAAGTTCAACTATTTTTAATTATAGGTAAAATTTAAGTTTGTTTTAGTCATGTTACAATTAGTTTAATTAAATTATTATCATCTATAATTAGTAAAGTCAAGACATTTTACACTTTTATATTAAATTAATTAATATTGTATTTGATTTTAAAATCTTAAAATTTTAAATTTAAATTTTATATTTATAAGAATGGTTAATTTCTAATATTATTTTTATTATTTCAAAATTTAAAGATAAAATCATTTAAAAAATGTGTACAACAAATTTAACTATCTTTTATATATGTTATAAATAATAATATATAAAGATAATAGTTTATTTTGATGTACATAATTTTTTTTTGGATAATTTTATTTTTATAACAACTTTTAAACTATTATCTTCTATTATTTTTATTTAATTTATATTTTTTCTACTATTTGTAAATCTTAATCACTTTTTTTTAAATAATAAAGTCACGTGTAGTATCTCTCTCCCACTAATTAAGTATAAGTTGCATTAATTTTTTGTATGCCTCTTTCATAATCTAATATTGCATTATTTATTAGAAAAAATAAATGATGTATTAACGATGTGAAGAAGTTTTATAATATCATTCAATCATAAATCATCATTTATGATTAGTTATTGACTTTTACAATAAAATAAAAAATATTTTAACAATAATGTTTAATTAATTAATAACATAAAAATAGTTTATATTATGAGTACATTTTCATTAACCTCTATTTATTAACACAAGGTACAAATTGTAATTGGCTTACAGCAAATAATTAATTTTTTACAGGGTAATTTCATTTTTAAAATGTTTTTGGCTAATGGTTTGTTTTAGTTTCCAATATTGAGAATTGAGATAGTTCCATAATTTCATAATTCCTTTTAAAAATATCTAGATACGAAAGGTTTAAATAAAGTAGTTTTATGGTACTTCTAATTGTATGGTCATCAAAGATCTAAATGGTCAAATGACCAATTATCAAACTTGTGTGAATCTTATGTTTATCGACATAGTCATCAGAGATCTACTCAAGACACTTCTAATTGTATGGTCATTACATATTTAATTAGTAATTAGTATTTAATATTTAGTATGAGCACACGTAAATGTTTATTATATATAATTAAAATTTATAATAATTATATAAATAAATATTATATTTAAATTATATAAATCATATTTAAAATTAGTATATATAAATATTTTAATATATATAATTAGTATATATA